AGTATGACTTAGTGATCTTAAATTCTGCAAGGATATGGCCCTGTTCCTCTGGCATCCCCGATAGAGAATTGTTCTCAGTCAACGCTGTGCAAAGCAATCCATTTGGATCTAGTCTTTGAACCAATTTGGTAAAGCAATAAGAAACTAATTAGAATTGTGTTTTCATTACCATCCAGCAAATGTTTGAAATGGTGGTACCCACATTTAAGGATGCTGTGAAGTGGCAAGTTAAGGGAGGTTCATCATGATGATTTGAGAAATTTCTCATTGCTTAGCATGTCACTCTATTCGACAAAAGAAATTATTCCTATTGAGCTAATTAACAAGCTAGCTTTGAATGTCTTAGCGGTAACGTATTCTCTCTTCTGTTTCAGCTATACATATTATTTCCATTTCCCCCCCCTCAGAAACCTGTGAACTAAACAAAGACCCTTTAATTGAAGTCACAGGCCTATGTCGTAGAAGATTCATAGGGTAGGTGGATGGACAGAACATCATCATGTCATTCAATCGACTGTGGTGGCATTTCTCCCAGGTGCCAGCACAGGAACAGACCCATCAGAAAGCATCTCTAGCAATATTGTCTTTTGGTTGGTTGATTATCTGAGAACATTTCAAAGCCACAAACCGGAGAAGGAAATGTTTTCTTTTTTATGGGTAAGGTGGGGTGAAAAAGCCACTGAAGACTTGATATTTACACATTCATGAGTTAAACCTTGCAAAACGGTATCTTTTCATGTGAAAAAAAAAAAATAAAGAAGGAGGAATGGTTTTAATGCTGAATTAGTTTATGGTTTTTTAGGGGTGTTTGGGGCCCTTTTGAATTTCTGTAGCTACTTGCTATAGCGACTTTTGGAAAGGAAGCAGTAACCTTGAAAATTTCACAAAAATGTACTTTATCCGGATGAAAACCTCTGTTTTCTTTGCCTGAATTTGCTTCTAAATAGCTATCTAGCCAGTTTTCAGTTTCTATATATGACTCCATTGTAATTCCTTCATTTTTAGTCTTTCCCCATATATACCGGGGAAATGTACCTATAAATCAAATGTAGATATTATACTACAAGATTGTTATGCCAATGGTCAATAAGAAGCAATTGATCAAGTACACGCCTCCACTTAATTCTGAACCATCTCCTTCTAATAGCATAAGCTAAAGAACGTAAATCAATTAATTTGAAGGTCATATAAATCTTACAAACATCAATACTTTTTTGTACTTTTGATAAAGAAGGAATAGGGGAGGAAGCGTGGAGACCATGCTCACATTATCTCATCTTTTTCTTTTCATCTTAAGGGTTTGCTTCCCTAAAGCAAGAAACAGGAAGTGGTGAGGAGGCAAGGGGAGTAGTAAACTGTCCTGGGAGAAGCCGATGCATCTAAACTAGTTCTGAACTTAAGTTGGGCGGTTGAAATCACCAGTGACTTTCACCATCATCAATTCCATCCAGATCTCTAGGAAAAGTTGCAAAATTCACAAGGATAAATTAAAATTTTTCCACCTTCCTTTCTTCTTTCTGTCCTTCCCTCCCCTCCTCCCTCCTCTCCTCCATCCCTTCCTTCTCTATTTTGCTAATTCTTTCTTTGTGTTTTCTCAGTTTAACATATGATAGAGCTTATATAGGGGAGATATTTGTGAGCTAGTCTCTCACCCAACTGGGCTAATGCTTTTCTCTGATTTTCCTCATCCTCTTTATTTAATTTGCTAGAGAGTGAAATAACTTGAATTAGCAATGTAGCACTTTCCACACCTCACTTTTGGGATTTAACATATACCCCCATGGAGCTGCTTATTCCGTGGAAAATACATCTCAGTTGGCACTGAAAATCCCCCAAATTGCAAATTATCAAATAATAAGAGTTCTCCAGTGATCGAGAATATAAAACCTGATAGAAAAATTAATATGTTCATCAAAGGTAACTATTATTAAGATGTATTCTTAGCTGCATTATTGTCTTCTGCCATGATTCATTGGGTACAGACTACAGTTTTCTTCATTTATCTCTTCTAGAGATTATAATCAACATTTGGTTTAAAGCATAGTTTTACAAATGTTTGCTTATGAAATTGCTCAGTGTTTAAGGAGTTCTTTCTGAATGGTGTTGCTAGCCTTTTTCTAGCTGAGTAATCTTTTTTTTCTTACTAACTTGTATTAGTAAATTTGTTCACAAAAGTAGAAACATTGCCCATCTGTAATAAACATCCTGAGAGCAGTAGCCATCTCTAGCTCAGTGCACTTTTATGGAGATTATTCTGTTTTCAGGGTTGCTGACCTTTTGTCTCTTTATTAGTTGCTATAGTGATGATCTGATCTCTGCTTAATAGAGCTTTACTAAAATGAAGACAATAAGCTCTTTAATGCTAACGTTTATATTGATAGTTCCAAATAACACATATCAAAATAAAATTTAGTCCTATAAATATATTCAATAGTGGAATTTTATTTTTTAAAACATGTTTAAATAGATGTTTACATAAGTTGCAGGAAATTAAATGCATTCTGTGGCTTTTTTAGGAAACCTAGAATACCTTTGTGAGGACATAAAAATAGAGATACATTTTGAAAGATCATTGTAAAATAGATGATAAATTTCTTTTATAACAGCAAACTTTAGCAGTAACGAGTACTTCATGGTTAATAATTTCTAAAGCAAAGTCAAGTCAGAGAATTCTTTTAGCACCTGTCATAAAAACACTCCAGGCCAACCTCTCCTCATATGTACCTGTGCAACGTCTATGATTTTGGAGGAATCCTGAAACACTCAGGGGAAGGAAGGTTGGGAATTGTTAAAATTCCTTAGGCAAAGTAGTAGAATAGCATGGATTATGTTGCTTTCCGAAGTTCACTTAACAGATATAAATCTTTTACTTAGTGATAGTATATAGATTACTATTTTTAGGATTATAGTGAAACTGCTAGGAACACATTTTTGAAAAATTTGATTCTTTTTCCTTTGGAATTAAATATTTATTTTCAAATGATATTCATGTATTTTTGACACATTGTAAGTAAAATGCACATACATTTAAGTTATTAAATTTTCTAGCATCATCAACACAAAGAAGGAAGTCTGAGGAATGGTGTAATTTACAAGGCCCATCAATTATTGTCATTTGTTTTGACTCTAACGTGCAGGTGTCACGCTACTGCTTTCCAAGCGTGGTCTCTGACCCTCTCTTTGGCCTATGCAGAGTCAGCTAGTGGTTAGTTTGCTCAAAGTTAGGGTGAGACGGTGGCAGCCCACAGCTGGAGCTGGGCTTCTTTCTCTCCAGAACCTGATTCTTCTACTTCTTGATGTTTGAGAACCTGTCTCCTCAATTCCATTCCTATATTCTATCAAATATACCTCGAAGTTTATTAAAAACAAAAATCAACATCCTGGATGGTAGGACATGGGGATAAAATTGATGCTTAGGCCATCTTTAGTGAACTTGGAAAGGAACGATGTGTCAGCTTCAAGTGTCAAAATACCTTATTTGAAAAACGCAGGAAAAATCTATCATCATAGATTTTTCAGGTATCATTTTGTTTTCTAAATTAGAAAAATATTTCTTAAATGCAAGATGAAGTTAAAATAAAAAAATTGGCTATGTGTGTTTTTAAAATTAAAGTTGCACATTTAATTATATCCTTACTTGGTTCTAATGATCACATTTATTTCTTTAAACAAAAAGTCTCATCCCTTACTTATTAGGAACAGAACTAGTAGAACTCACAGAGATTCTGCCATTTAAGAGCTATCTACTGATGATCTACTAAGTGTCAGGCACCGTTGTAAACAGTGGGGATATGGTTGGGAAAAAAGCAGGCAAACTTCTTCCTCTCACGAAGCTTATGTTCTTTGGCAGGAATCAGACAATAAATAAATGAGTATATGTTGTGTCAGGTGGTGATAAGAGCCAGGAATTAAAATCAAGTGGGACAAGGGTCTAGAGAGTGATGGGGAATGGTAAGCAAGTGCTATTTTAGGTAGGATTATCAGCCAACACCATCATCTACCACCTGGCCTCTTGCATTAGGTTTCTAATTGATCTTCTTGCTTTTATCCTTGCTTCCCTAGTTACTATTCCCACAGCAGCCACTCAGAATAAGTTAGATCACATTTTTCACCTACCGAAACCCTGCAACAACTTCTATGTAGAATGAAATTCATAGTCCTCTTGGCTTGCAAGACCCCACATGATCTTCCCCCTTTTTACCTCTCCGACCTTATTTTCTTCTTTCCCTCATTTACTGCACTCCAGGCACTTTTCCTGAATATGATATGGAGGCCCCCACCTCAGGGCCTCTTATGCTGGCCTTGCCGTGCCAGATACATGCTTCCCTGTGGTACTTTCAGTTGCTGCTCCCTTGCTGCCTTTGGTCTGCTTCACACCTCCTGAGAGCTGCCTTCTATGATCATTCCATTTAAAGCAGCATCCCACCTTCACCCTCCCTCTCTTCCCTGCTCCATTTTCCCTCATAGCACTTATTCTCTCTTGTCTTTGTGTTAAAAATCTGTTTAGTGGATATATGAGAACATATGTGCCCCTAGAGCAGGGCTTTGGGCTCTGTACTCACCATTGTATTTCCAGCACCTAAAATCACGGCAACCTGTTGCAAGAGCCCAACAATTATTTGTGGCATGAATGAATGAATGCTTATGCTCTAAAAATGAACTGCTGAATAAAGGGCTAGGGAATAGTAGACAGAAAAGTGTCAAATGCTTTGGAGGTTTGAAAAATGATCCTATGTGCTAGTGTTTTTCCATGATTTGAATCCTGTCTCCCATGGTCACATGGTTCACTCAGTGGTAGAACCATTCCCAGCTACAACCTAACCTCAACTCCTTTTCCCCAGCTTTGCTTATGCCATAGCCTTTACCAATGAACAGAAGTGCATACTGTGTAGCTGCGTATTCTAGATGTGAAATTTTGGTGATTGCGTTTCTAATTTCTAAAATATTAATATTTAAAATGGGTTGGTTTATGACCATGTTCTTTCTTTTTTAAACTGCAGCATCACCAAATGCTCCAAAAGTTGGACCCATGGAACTGGCTGTTGTTATCACTGTGCCTGTTTGCCTCCTGTCCATAGCTGCCATGCTGACAATATGGGCATGCCAAGGTCGACGGTGCACCTACAGGAAGAAAAAGAGACCAAATGTGGAGGAACCACTCTCTGAGTGCAATCTGGTAAACGCTGGAAAAACCCTTAAAGACCTGATTTATGATGTGACCGCCTCTGGTTCTGGCTCTGGTATGTGCACATAATCCATTTTTCAGTAAGAAATCTCTTATTTAAAAGTAAATAATCCGGGCATGGTGGCTCACGCCTATAATCCCAGCACCTTGGGAGGCTAAGGTGGGAGGATCACTTGAGCCCAGGAGTTCAGGACCAGCCTGGGCAACACAATGAGACCCCATCTCTAAAAAAAATTAAAAAATTAGCCAGGAGTGGTGATGCACACCTGTAGTCCTGGCTACTCAGGAGGCTGAGGCAGGAGGATCACTTAAGCCCAGGAGTTGGAGGATGCTTAAGGTTTGATGAAGCCACTGTATTCTAGCCTGGGCAAGAGAGTGAGACCCCGTGGCATAAATAAATAAATAAAAACATTTTTAACCAAAAAAGGGCCCAAAATTATGAATTCCATTGTTTAGAGTGCTTGATAGGGTACATGGTAAGCTCCAGCATAGGAACTTCTTTTAGGATTTGATGCAGAGAAAAAAACTGTCATGGTCTAAAGAATTAAGTCTTCTCAATTGCCTTTTGTAGCATTAGGTGTTCAAACTCATTTTCACATTCCTTCAGAACTTATTTCTGAAGCAAGACAGCAATTTCTCTTCTCTCCTCCCTACCTTCCCCCATTATGGTTAGTAACAATCACTGTTGCTTTCCTGGTAATGTTTGATGAATACAAAGTAGTTAGAGTTATTATATTTAAGGTGTTGAGTTCTGGGGAAAAGATGTTAATTTCACAAAGAAGTGTTCTTCGAGCACTTTTGCTCATGGTTATGAAGGTCTTCAGAATCTTTGCACCCCCTGGGAAGTCTGTGTGAAGTTAACAGGGAGCTGACTTGAAATTAAATCAAGAATATGTTCTTAATGCATAGAAATAGAAGATTAAAAGGAGCAGCACAGCCTTCCTGTGCTGGCTTTTGGTGCTTGAGGTTATATAACTCTCTTCCTCTTCAGTGGAACTCCAGAACCCCTGGTGAAGCAATTCAAAGTACCAGGCTATATTATGACCCAAATGAGCCTTTCTTACAGCACAAAGCATTTGAAGGTTTTTTTGTGTGTGTGCTTTGGTGGGGGGGCAGGTTAGGTGACAGCCAATTATCCCCCTAAGAACAAATTCCCTAAAATGATAGAGGATTCCCTGCTTTTATATATATTTCCAGAAATCTCGCCAGCACTTGGTTTGCAGAAATATGAACAAGGGTAAGACTAGATGAACCACTTCAGAAGCCCCGGCATCCCTTCCCATTACTGGAGCATCATTAAGGTTGTAACCCAACATTCTGAAGCACTCCCTTGCTGCTGGCCCTTGGAAGCATCCAGGCAGGCGTAATTGATGGAGGCAGCAACGGAGGGGCGATACCATCTATAGGAGTATCCATGTTTAACATGAGACAGCTTTGGGTTCATCGGAAAAGAGAAGCATAATTATGGCATCCAGAGGGCCCAGATATTTTGCTGCTTCTGGGGCAGATCATTTGCCCTCTTACTGACCAAAGTCTAAATGTTTACACCATCACTATATACATTAAGTGGCATGTTTTCAAAGGAGGATGCTGGAAGGAAAATCTCCAAACTGCAAAGTTTATAAAACTGGAATCCAAATTAAATTATTGGCTAGAAGACTGGCATTCTTTCTTTAAAAATAAAACTTGTTAGGATTCACTACTTTTTCCTTCTTTGAATATTACATTTTGAGGCCCACTATGTCCTAATTTCTTGCACACAACATTCGAGGCACAGAGAGCTCTGATTTGTACCATTTCTTGAAATCTTACATGACTTCCTGATGAGGTTTAAGTAATTAAATAACCATCTACTTAATCCCCACCAAAATATTTTAGTTCATCTGAAGATGTTAAGCAGAAATATGTATTTTGGAGCCACTTCTTAAATATATCTAAGATGATCAAGGGTTTTCCTTTCAAATAAAAGTAATACCTATTTAAAAACTGAAGATTGGATATTTAGTTTAAGAAAGTAGTCATGAGCCAGGACATAAAATCAAAATTCAACCTTAAGTTTTGTGGGGTTTTTGTGCATCTTTAAACCTAAGCCTGGATTTACTGACTCCTGGACTCTCTCCTTTTTCATATCATTCTAAGATCTCTCATAAAAAGAAAGAAGTAAATGTACTTAAGCACAGATAATTTCTTTAAAGACCAATTTGAAAGAGTTTTAAGTACTTTTTTTCCCAAAAGCAGTTGCGCATGTTTACCAGTGACCACTAGCTAAAAGTAACTACTCCCTCTCTGCTTTCGATGATCAGAGAGTGAGTCTATCTGCAGTAAGGCTTCAGTCACAAACACTCGCTGGGGAGGGAATAGGGTGGTTCTGCTTCCCTCTGCTTTTCTTAATTGGCCACTGATCTTAAAGGTGAGGCACCTTTGTCAGATGCTAAGAAACAAAAACTGTGAAGCTTACTCTTGACCTGGTCAGAGGAAAATTTCAAAGACTTATAATACCTGCAAGAGAGGAAAATGGACTGATGTTTTACTGGACTATCTTGAGAGTGGATGGTGTCTCAGGTGGCTTCCAAGAGACTGGGTAGATTGCTGATTTCCTTTCATGGTATAACAATTCTGACTGATAGTGACATTACTGAAAGATACCTTTTCAGAAGACAGGCATCAGCTTCTACAACTCCTGGTAAAAAGGTTAAAATGAACCTACAAGGGAGAGGCAAAGTCCATGTATTTTGAAATGAAACCACTTAGGCATGTAACACAAGAATTAGATTCATTTTGCTGTTTTGAAAGATATTGAAGCAACTTTCATTGAGTTTTATTCTCAGTGTAATTGCTTTATACGTTGTTGTCTTTCTTTGTCCCTGATCTGTGCCTTTGATCATGTGCTTGATCAATTTGCACTTTGAAAACATTGGCTTATCTAGTTCTCTATCCATTTATTTGTTGTATTGTTGGTGGTGCCAGTTGGTGATATGTGTGTGTGTGTGTGTGTGTGTGTGTGTGTATATGTGTGTGTGTGTGTGAGATCGTGGGGTAGCAGGAGAAGGGGAGAGACTAACATTGAGATTTGGCCTAGTAATTGTTAGTATAACTTTTAGTTGTGGTCAAATAGTAAAATTGACTGTAGCCTACAAAAACAGTCCTTATAATTTGCTGCTAGAAGTCTTCCCCGCAGGAGAGAACCGCAATCATATTCACTGAATGGTGAGAGAGCAAGAGTTTGGACTGAAGACTAGTGTTTTAGTTCTAAGTTTGCCTCTCACTAGCAGGATAATTCCAGGCGAGTCTTTGATTACCAAGGGGCCTCACAGTTTTCCCATCTCTAAAAGGATGGAGTTGAACCAGGTGATTTGAAAAGAACTTTCTGGCTCTGCGGCTTTGTGATTAATTGTTGAAACTCTTAACAGCAAATTTATAGTCTGTGCTTATTTAGCTATAGTGGGTGGTTCTCATGAACATGAGAACATCTGAATAAACACTGACTTGTTTTAGGAGCAGGGGCCAAAGCCTTCATAAGCTGTAGGGTTGTTGCTCTGAAGGTTTCCCAGCCATCTGAGTATACTAACAATAACTAAGCATGACTTTCCAGAATAAATTTATGCTGCAACCTCTTTAATTATTTTTCCTCTGATTATAAGAGTAATAAATACTCATCGTGGAAATTAAGAAAATTAGGAAGAATATCACAACTCACCCCAAATTCCACCAAATAGAAATAACCATCATAGCATTTAGCATATTTCCTTTTTAGTGTTTTTTTTCTGGGCATATTTTAAATACCTAGGTACATTTACTTATATGGATAAAATTTACTATGCTGTTTTCACTTAACATGATAGCAAAAGTATTTTCCCATGTCATTAAGAAATACCTCTTTATAAGTAGCATTATCATTATTGGCTCTAAATAATCCATTGTAAGATTAACATGATATTAACCATTACTGAGCGTGTAATATGCCAGTTCCTATGCTGGGTGCTTAACATGAGTGTTAATTCTCATATCATCCCTATGAGATAGGTAATATTTATTATGCTCAGTTCTTTAGATGAGGAAGATGAAGCTCAGAGAGGTTAAATAACTTGCCCGTGGTTGCCAGGTGGTACAGCTCAAATTTGAACCCAGGTCTTTCTTATTTGTGATCTTAATATCTGCATTATATTTCACAATTTTTCTATTACCCAACGCTTTTCCTTATTTTTTCCTATAAATAAAAATAATAATGTATTAAACATTTTGATTTAAAGTATAAACTTTTCTGTATTTTGCATTAAATCTTTAGGACAGAATTCTAGAGGTGGACTTATTGGTTCAAAGACTATAGATATTATATATACACTCAGTATATAATTTCATTTTTTGTTCCACAGAAAATATCCATGTGATATTTTCTATGACTGTATCTTGCTTTTAGTGTAACATCATTACCTCATTTGATCATTGAATTTGATTCTTCACACTTTCCAATTTTAACTTGGTTTTGAAAAAATTCACAAAGAATTCTTTTGCTTTCCCAGTTGTACCAGAAACCATACATTTTGTTTTAGAGGCTAACAATTTTTTTTTTTTTTTGCTTTTACTCTTGTGTCTTTAGTAACTTGACTAGCTTTGATGAGCAAATGAAGGAGATTTGCAGCAATTCTTGGAAATCAGATATCTGTAGCAGCAGGCTCTGTTCAAAAAATTTTTACTTGTGAATATGAAAAGAGAAATTCATATTCATAATTTGAAGTATTTTTTGAGCATGCTTTGATATTAAAGGTTTGGTATAATGGTGCTTATTTCTTCACAATCAATAAAATTATTAAAGTGCTTAAATGTTTGCTTTCTTATGTGAAAATAGCCATCATCATGACAGTTCTTTTCTGGCATTTGTTTTTAATCATCAATCCCTTCTCTTCTTTGGTTAGGTCTACCTCTGTTGGTTCAAAGAACAATTGCAAGGACAATTATACTTCAGGAAATAGTAGGAAAAGGTAGATTTGGTGAAGTGTGGCATGGAAGATGGTGTGGGGAAGACGTGGCTGTGAAAATATTCTCCTCCAGAGACGAAAGATCGTGGTTTCGCGAGGCAGAAATTTATCAGACAGTCATGCTGCGACATGAAAACATCCTTGGTTTCATTGCCGCTGACAACAAAGGTATTTTCAACCTACTTGGGTTTGGCAAGTAAAAATGTTGTTTAGTATCAGATGAGAATAAATTCATCTCTTTGTTTTAATAAAATCTACATAAACATCTAATTTCTTTATTGAGGAAAGAAAATTTTTTCCTCTTTTCCATAGATAAATGCACATAACCATATCATAAAGCAGGGCAAATGAGTGATAGGAAAACATGATGTCCCTATAGCCAGGTCAGGTTTTAAAATGTTTGCTGACTGTTGTGGCGCAGGAACCAACCAACCAGAAGAGACGTTCCAGCTGGAGCAGCGTCCTGGAGAACCCTGCCATGCTAGGTCTTAACTCTAGTTGCTTCTGGGTCATAGAAAGATCTGGAGGCATTTGGGGGCAGGGACATTTGGGTGTCTAGGGCAAAAGAGTGTCATTAGAAGTATTGAATAGCAGCTGTTCACCAACCAGGATAGACACATTTCAATATTTCCATAACTGGTACAGACATACCAGTGAATGCTAGCTGAACGTTCACCTTTCCTGGGACTGGATTTTTCTATTTATAACAGGCTTTGTCTTCAGGACACAAGTTTTTATAAACATTATCTCTTTAGATTGTGTCACAATGGTGACAAGCAAGACGACTTTAGTGAAATTTTCTATTAATGTTTCTTTGAGCATGATTTATATCTTGGTGTTTAACATTAACAATGCCAAACAGTGTTATTTTTTCAGTTTCATGGAGTAAGACAGAGCATCTACTTTCTGGTATTTAAAATAAGTACTCACAAAATATTGTTTTTTATGCTTGTATAATCAGAGGCTGGATATAAAATTTATGGATCGCCTATGTTCTCCTTCTTCTTTTTACAAAGTGTTTAGTCACTTAACTGTTATTTATTGCCCCTAAGAAAGGGAAACGGGGAACAAAAGTGAGGGAAACTTGATCCAGTCAATTTTTAAACTTTAACTCTAGTCAGTAATACTTATGAAGAAATTTGGTGGAGTCAAAGTTGTAAACTCTATCTCAAAATAGGTTAAAACAGATTATCTGTGGATGTCAGGGATCCATCACTGCCTGTGAAAATTAAAAATCTATGGTTATTTTGATCTAAGTATAAACTTGATCATAAAAGTATTTGCTATTAATTAGATGGAGAAGAGAGACTTAGCATGTATTGTGCATTTTGGCCATAATTATGTTTATTGATGCTTTGTCATTTTCATTTGCTAACGAGAAACTGAGTAAAAGCATGGTGAGCTAAAACAAAAAGGTTCTTTCCAAATTCATAACTACATATACTTTGAAGCATATCCAGCCTATTGAAAATGAGACATTTCTCATCCAGCTGTTAAGAACATTTTCTTTTCCTTCCTAATCTTGAGCTGAAATACCTACTGGTTAGATTAATTATCAGTGCTGTCAAAGAAGTAATGACTACATGGATCATCTTGATGATGCTAATTTAATCGTGATGTTTATTGGATTATAAAGCAATATACACAAGAGAGATTATCCTTGGTTTTCTCTTCTTCAGTTTGACTGGTCTACCTCTCCCGTATCCTTGCTTGTCAGTGGTTTTTTGCATGGTTCCAAATGGTCACTTTTATCTTCGTGAATTCCTTTATCTTTTGCAACAGTCACAGTTTTACTTTTTCATCCTATTTCTTTGTCAACTGTCTGACAAAGACATTGATGTGAGAGGGCAGGGACAGCCACTGGTGTCTGTCAGGGAGAGAGGTGGGAGGAGGGTTAGTTTTCTATGTGGTCAGTTCGTTAATGAACTTTATTATGTTATGTTGACCTTTGTATTCCTAGGGAATTTTATCACTACCCAGATTTGGAAATTAAATATTTGGATAACAAAGAGCTCTTGTACATACAGCACCTTGCAGGAGAAGTTCTTAGCAAATGTTCATTATAGATCCTTTCCCTGAGTGTCAGAACTGGTCAGGAACTCCCAGGGTCATTGTAGACATTTTATGCCAAAAGCTAAAGTTAGCCTCTAGGGAGTCTAATACCTCGAGAAGTTTTTAGGCTAACATCTCTTCTGCTAAAAGTCTTTTCTAAGCTGGATTAGCTTTTGGCTAGATGAGGTAAATTATTTGAAAATGCCTAACAGGGGAGGGGAATCTGCAGTCTTGGGGCCACATGTGGCCTTCTGGATCCTTGAGTGTGGCCTTTTGACTGAATCCAAATTTTACAGAACAGATCCTTATAATAAAGGGATTTGTTCTGTGAAGTTTGGGTTTGGTTGAGGGGACGCACTTAGGGACCTGCAGGGCCACATGTGGCCTTGAGGCCACAGGTTCCTAGTAATTGTGTTTGGCTCTTACTATAAGCTTTTGGGGAAAATCAATTTCATATTTTGAAAGACAAATAACATGAACATACTTAGAATGTCAGAGCTTTTATGATAGTAATGATACTTTGTGTAAATTTGTTGTATTTATGATCTTTATTGGTACAATCTTTCTTAAAAGTTCAGAGTAGCCCGGCGCAGTGGCTCACATCTGTAATCCTAGCACTTTGGGAGGTCGAGGTGGGAGGATTGCTTGAGATCAGGAGTGCGAGACCAGCCTGAGCAAGAGCGAGACCCCGACTCTACTAAAAATAGAAAGAAATTAGCCAAACAACCAAAAATATATAGAAAAAATTAGCTGGGCATTGGCGCATGCCTGTAGTCCCAGAGGCAGAAGGATCGCTTCAGCCCCAGAGTTTGAGGTTGCTGTGAGCTAAGCTTACTCAGCAGGATTCTAGCTAAAATAGGACAATGCAGAGATGAAAATGGAAGTTCAAAAGTTAGGCCCAAAAAAAAAAAAAAAAAAAGTTCAGAGTAATTTATAACACAACACTGAGCCTAAGTCCATCTCTTAGCAGTTTCTCCTGTAATGTGGTTGCTGTTGCCAGCAGGTATTGATATAGAGCGAATAAGAAAGGAGTGGTTCAGTTGTTAGAATCACAGCCTCACAACTTCTTATTTCTATGGTGGATACGTATAACAGGTTCTAATATATCAACATCTTTAGGAATTCATTGAGATTTTCCTTTATTAACTTGACTATAAGCATTTCCACTGAAATAACTAACTTTACTTCGTTAGCAATACAGATTAACTTTAAACACTGACATTTGTTAAAGCTTTTGGCTTCTTTCTCAATATATATTTACAGCAACAAACTTATGTTTTCCTGTCAGATAACGGAACTTGGACTCAACTTTGGCTTGTATCTGAATATCATGAACAGGGCTCCTTATACGACTATTTGAATAGAAATATAGTGACGGTGGCTGGAATGGTCAAACTGGCACTTTCAATAGCCAGTGGCCTAGCTCACCTTCATATGGAGATTGTTGGTACACAAGGTGTGTATATCCTTTTAATATTTTTTCTCTTTGACTATGAGGATAGAAACACTTAGTTGTATTTTAGTGTTTAGTTGTATTTTAGTTTATTACAAATAATTATGAATTGTAAAGAAACACTAAAGATACTTTATAAAGCTGAAGGTTTTGGCATTATATAGCCAACTCTCATCTATATACTCACCATTTTGTATATTATGCATAATAGCATTTTAAATATTTTATTTTCCAGTTGTTCTATCTTTGCAACTTAGCATATATTCTGGAAGATCTTGTTTTGGTGGCAAATGGTCTATATTCAGAGAATACCAATAATTTAAATGTTTATCTTCGATAATTAAAAAATAATTGGAAAGGATAATGTGATTTTGAAAAGATATTTGTGTATCATTTTTTTGCAGTCCAAATAATACCCACTACCTTTTCTGTTTATTGTGGTAACAGAGAGTTGGCTCTAGAGTCGTTAATCTAGACAGGGTGATGGCTGTCAAATTCGAACTCATGATCCCTTTGCATTCTTAAAAATTATTGAAGACCTCAAAAGTTTTTGTGTATGTGGGTTATATCTATTACTATTTACTGTATTAGAAGTTAAAATTGAGAAATTAAAAAAAAGTATTTATTAGTTTACTTAATGATTAATCAATTAAATGTTAATATAAATAACATAGCTTTAAAACATTGCATCTTTTTTTAATACAAAAACCAATCTAGTGAAAATAATGGTTTAGTTTTACATTGTTGTAAATCTCTTCACTGTCTGGTTTAACGTCTGGATTTTCATACCTGTTCTTCATTCGGTCTGTCCCTGTATGTTGTTTTGGTTGAAATATGTGAAGAAAAAGTGGCATCAGACAGATAAGTAGTTGGAAACGTCTCAAGGACCCCCACGGATCTTTAGGCCATATTTCAGAACTGTGTGTCTAGGATAGGAGAAGCTTTGAGACTTGTTTTGTAAGAGAGTATTTGCCATGTTCTTGTATGGACATAGCAGTGCTAATTTTTTCCACACCTATTAAAAATATTTATTGGTGGGTACTAAATGTCACCTAGTGTTCTAAGCATTTAGAGGCATGGTGAGGAACAAGACAGAGTCACTGCCCTCCTTCGGCTTACAATTTAGTTGGGAGAGGCAGGTGATTAAATGTACATGAATAAACAAGATAATTTAGATAGTGTAGAGTTACGAAGAAAGCAAATTAGCTCATTTTGACCTAAGTCTTCAAAATGCTTTCTCTTGGAGAGACTCAGTCTTCAGTAAGGAAGAAAATGAATATGATCTTCTTACATTTCATAGGCAAACCTGCTATTGCTCATCGAGATATAAAATCAAAGAATATTTTAGTGAAAAAATGTGAAACTTGTGCCATAGCAGATTTGGGGTTGGCCGTGAAGCATGATTCAATACTGAACACTATTGATATACCTCAGAATCCTAAAGTGGGAACCAAGAGGTAAGACGACTTACTTTGGTAGCAAACTGAGACTTATGATTGCCCAATAAACATGAATGCCTGGGATGTGGGGAAGGGGAGCAGTTCTGGACCAAATGGGAAATTATTAGGCCCAAGAAAGTAAGATGTCTTCTCCAGGTCACCGAGAAGTCAGTGAGCACGATGGTTCTAAAGCAAGGAGAGTCGGCATTTTGGGCCATATGGACAGCAGCCGTTTAGGTGCAGAGTCCAGTGGAGAGGACTGGTGGAAGAGATAGTGATGTCTTACTTTTAGCGCCACATTCTGAGGATGCATTTCCCTACAGATAAGAAAAAACTGTCAGCAGCATATAGTTCCCAAAAGCCTTTATATCTCATAAATGAACTGAAACTCAGGGCTAGTTCTACATGTGCAAGTCCTAACCAGCAGATACGGAAACAATACATTAGAATAGATCAATCAGGGTCTCTATATAATAAAGACATGTGCTATTATATTCCCTTAATATTTAAAGGTATTATGTAACAATTTATGTGTTACCTATAGTTGTACTTATCCTTAAGTCTCCCAAATCAATATGTATAAAGACAATATGAATTTGGATACAATTCCCACTTCCAAGGAACAGACTCTCTGAAGGTTAAGAACAAGCATGATATAAACAGGGCATACCACCCATGTGTCAGGACAGGCCTATTAGTAATGGGATTTCTGGTGTTTTTCATATTATGGCCATCCTGTGGCCATATGGCCAGCCTACTTCTAATTCCTTTTATTTGAATTTCAGGCCTGTGTTACTTTAGCATAATTCCAGAGCTCTTGACTGTGAAATCAGAACAGACAGAATATTTTCCTGGAGCTATTAAAGGCCCTTGAAGGTAGAGAATTTCTAAGCTGGTAGAGCTAGCCTCCAAGCCGTGTTTGAGATTCCAGGACAGTGTCTGTGAGTCCCTCGCTTGGCTCCCTAGGAGACCTTCATGAGGCCCCAGGAACATTTCAAGGCAGTTTACTCAGACTGGGCAGCCCTAGGGGACTTTTCTTCTTTTCCTCATAAAAGAGAACCTTCACTTGCTCATTTGCCCCACATCCGGGACCCTCAAGGAAGCTTCAGATGCTGGATTCCTTAAGAGGATCTAACACTTTTAAAAAGCTTGGAAGGATGTTGCCTCCTCACTTCAATTCTGGGAAATCTCCAGAATCTTCCCAGGACGGCTAGGCTCATTCAGGTTCCATGGACTGTAGATTTCTCCCAATTAGTCCGGATCAAAAAAGGCTATAATTTTCTTGGAGCCAATGTGTAATACAGTTGTTCATTCAGAGGCGGTGTCTGTGGAATGCTGCTGAGCCCTGTAAGAGATTTGGGCCACCATAGTGAATGAAACACATTCTGCCCTCAAGGAGCTTCCCATGGCAACAAATTACTGGTGGAAATGGCGTTCGATCTCTCTTGCTACTGAGTGCTTTCCTCATTGAATTTCCCTCCAACTTGTGCTTTACAAGTACCAGGTTCCTGGCACACTTGCTCTAACACTGAGTGAAATGAGTTCTATTTAAAATGTCTTTTAATTGTTTGACTCGATAATGTATTATTTAATTTTGTTCCATTATAGTGCATCAGATCTACCTTTAAAATTGACATAAACTATCTTAATTTATATTTTACATCAGGATTTATTAAGGTTGTGTTTTTCTGAGCTGCTATAAAGTCATACACAGAATCTGAAATGTGCATGTTTTTGAAGGTATATGGCTCCTGAAATACTTGATGACACAATGAATGTGAATATCTTTGACTCCTTCAAACGAGCTGACATCTATTCTGTTGGTCTGGTTTACTGGGAAATAGCCCGTAGGTGTTCGGTTGGAGGTAAGATTTTGAAAATATTCTTTGTGCCTGCCTTTCCTTGGTACTCTGAATTCAGGATGTGATTTCCCATCTTTTTTTACTAAGCACCATATTGAATCATTTCCAAACATTTAAGAGAATACCTTTTGGTGTTATCTTTCCAGTGGCAAAAGTGGGATATCCCTCATATAATAGAGATTTTATATTGTGATTACTGCTTAGATGGGGGTGACATCACTTCTGGTAATTCTAATTTCCATAATAATATTTTGCAAAACACTTGAAAATTATCTTATTCAAGTTTGTAAGCAGTTAGCTGGTATCCCTACTTTTTATCCCAACGAAGTTAAATGACTTGCCAAGGCCACAGGACTTGAAGTTTTCCGTTTCTTAGGCTTTTCTTGTCCGTCTGTTCTCTCCTATGATATGAATGTGAGAGGAGAAGGAGGTGGGGGGAGATGAGCAAGACAAACTTCCTACCTCTACCGCTTCCAGAAGGTTAGAACTTAATAATGAGAGGAAGAATTTGGAAGATGAAACCCTAAAAATGCAGTCTGATGAAATTGTTATATCAGTGGAGAAAAAGTCCAATGCTGTAGATATTGGTTTAGAGTTTTCACCTTCGAGTAAGGTAGAGCTAGAACTAAGCCTTGGTTTAGCGACTCCTTGAATGTTAGACTTTAAGCAAGTTACTTATTCTCACTTTCCTCATCTGTAAAATGAAGATAATAATAAAACTGACCCCTTGGGCTTTGAGGATTTAATGAATTAATTCATGGGAAGCTTTTAG